CCAGATGGCTGGTCCATAGCAACACCTCCCCCCCCCCCATCCCCCCCCCCCCCCCTTTCCTCCCCCTCCCCCCCTCTTCCTCTCCCTCTCCTTCCCTCTCCCTCTCCCTCTCCCTCTCCCTCTCCGTCCTTCCTTCGCTCCACCCCCACCCCCTATCACTGCTCCTTTGGCCGTCAGGCTCCAATTCACACTGACCATGTCTCCCCAACCCCTTCCCTTTTCCGCCCCCCCTTCCCCTTCCTCGACTGCTGGGCACCGTCTCCTGCCGACCATGTACCCCCGTACTGCCTTTCCTGCCCCGTCATCTTGCCCGGCACCAGCCTCACCATCGCCACCCTCGAGTCCATGGATGGCGAGCGCCTGTGCTTCCGCCAGATGGGCGATGCCCTGATCGAGCGCAAGGTCGGTGATGTTCTGCCCGAGCTGCAGAAGGTCCGCGAGGGTGTACGTAGTATCCTGTCTTGGCGCCGTTCCCCCCTGGCCGGCCCATCTCCCTCCTCCCCCCCCCCTCTGCCGGGATTTGCTTTCATTGCTCCTGGCCCTTGCTGCTGGCTTCCTGCTCCTCGCATTTCGCTTCTTGCCCCTCACTCCTCGCTCTTGTTCCTGCCCGGCTTCTCGTGTCTAATCTCTTTCTTTCTCTGCCCTTTCCTCGCCTACAGCTTGTCCAGCTGATCCGCAAGATGCAGATGGACTACCAGACCAAGGAGGAGGAGATCTCCAAGTTCGCCGAGAAGAAGTAAGCTCCCTCTGGTCCGGCTTCCTCCTCGTCCTACTTCGTTTCCCCGCAGGAGCGAAGTCCGTCCCTTCTGTTCCCCCCCCCCCTCTCTCCCTCTCTCGCCCCGGCAGGCACACACCCGTCCATGCGCACATCGGCACATGCCTCTCCCTACTGCTGTCGCCTCAGTCACATACACACACACACACACACACACGCACTGCGCACGCACGTACACAGCGCTTGTGTGCACTCGCCTCCAGCGCATGCCTGCGCGCGTATACTGCACCACGCACCCATGCACCCATGCACTCGTGCACTTGTGCACCCATGCACTCGTGCACTTGTGCGCTCATGCACTCACTTTCTCCCCCCTCTCTCACACATACAAACACACACACGCACGCACCTCCGTTCCTCCGGAGGCGGGCCTGCCAGCCAATCAAAATAAAAATGTACATATCCATTGGCACCTGGTCACATGACCCACCGGCAAGACGCTAGTTTCTTTCGCGCCTTCTCAACAACATATCACCGCTGGCGGAGAGAAGGGGGTGGGGGGAAGGCGGGGGCCGAGATAGAGGGACGGGGGAGGTCACTAGCGGATGGCTGTTGTTTTCCTGGCCCACTGCGCGGTGCCTGGCCTGTTTTCCCTTTTCCGAGTTGCCCCAGAGATCGCCCCCGGGCCCTTGTCTCCCCGCCTTGCTCTAGCAAGGGCCCTCTTAATTGTTCTTTTCAGCACCCGGCCCAGTCGGCCCTGGGCGGGGGCCGATCTTCGGCAGCCCACCCCTCCTCCCTCTTCTCTCCCCCCTTCTCTCCCCCCGCCCTGTGCTGCCCCGTTCACAGTTCACACACACACACACACGCACTACCTTCCGCCCTTTCCCCCCTCATCACCCTCCCCTTCCACCTGCTACCGCTATGTCCCCCAACCCAATGTTGAACATCATTTCCGGGGACCTTGAGCTCTCGTATGTTCCCTCTTCCCTGCCACGGTTCCCCCCAGGGACAGCTTCCTCTCCTTTGCCTCGGCTGGCCTGACTTACCTGTCTTCTCATGGCGCCCCGACTTGCCTTTCCTCAGCCCGGACATCCAGGAGTATGTCAACGACAAGTGGGGTCTCAAGGACGCCGGCCATGAGTACAACCTCATCGCCATTTTCGGTGCTCAGAGCACCGGCAAGAGTGCGCCCCCTCTTTGTTGCTTGCTGGCTGCCTGCCTGCCCCCGGTGCCCATGTTCTCACCTCATGCCCCCCCCCCTCTCCCTTCCCCGACGTGACCGGCTTCAGGCACTCTGCTGAACACGGTCTTCGGCACCGGCTTCGATGTGATGACCGCCAACCGTCGCCAGCAGACCACCAAGGGTATGCCCATTTTCTCGAGTGCTTCCTTGCACCTTGACACCCCCCTTCCTCTCTCTCTCTCTCTCTCTCTCTCGCCCCTTCGGTGTACTCACCCTTCTTGCTCCGACTTTCCGCCTGCTCCGCCTCTGCTGCGTCGCAGGTCTTTGGATGACCACCAGTGGCACTGCCGAGAACACCATCGTCATGGATGTCGAGGGTACCGACAGCCGTGAGCGCGGTGAGGATCTGGAGATGGAGCGCAAGAGCGCCCTCTTCTCGCTGGCCATCTCCCAGGTCCTGCTCATCAACCTGCTGGAGACCGACATCGGCCGGTCCAACGCCTCCAACTACGGGCTCCTCCGCACCGTGTTCGAGGTCAACCTTGGCCTTTTCCAGTCAACCTCGTGCGTGCACCACGCCACACGCGCACGCGCGCGCGTGCGGCCACCCTCCTTCTCCCCCCCCCCCCCCTCCTGGGCACTTCCACATGTCGCCCTCCACTCACCCTTCCCCTGCTCCACTCTACCCCATGTTCAATCTCCCTGCCGATGGGCCACGTCCACAGTGCTCAGAAGACCCTGCTGCTGTTCGTCATTCGTGACCACTACGGCACCCCGGTGGCCGAGCTCAGCAAGACCCTGGAGGAGGACATGAACCAGATCTGGGAGGGCATCCGCAAGCCCGAGGGCCTGGAGGACGCCAAGCTCAGCCAGTACTTTGACCTGGCCTTCACGGCCCTCCCGCACAAGCTCATCCAGGCGGCCGAATTTGACGCGGCCGTCGAGAAGCTGAAGCCGTGGTTCTCCGACCCCGACAACCCGAACTACGTCTTCAAGAAGGAGTACCGCAAGCGCATCCCCTCCGATGGTCTGGGGCACTTCGCCGGCGAGGTTTGGGTGCGTTCCTCCTCGGCCCCTGTCCCTCCTCTCGTCTCTGTCTTGCTGCGCCGCTCGCCGGTTTAGGGTCCTCTCCTGCTTACCACTGTCGGGACCCCATCCCTCACCCCCCAAACACACACACACACACACACACACACGGGGCCTCCCATCCGTTGCCGGGCTGTAGGAGCAAATCTGCTCGAACAAAGACCTCGACCTGCCGACCCAGCGCCAGCTGCTGGCCAAGTTCCGCTGCGACGAAATCTCCCGCAACATCCTGCACTCCATCAACGACGAGGTTCAGGAGCTGCAGACCGCCCTGGAGGGCGGCCGCGAGGTGGCCGACCTGGCCGATCGCATGCACACCATCTACCAGACCAGCTTCGACTCCTTCTGCCACCAGGCCTCGCGCTATGAGACCTCGGTCTTCCAGACCGAGCGTGATGTCTTCGCTCAGACGCTGCATGGGATCCTGTACATGCTGTTCGCCGCGCAGCTCCGCAACATCCACCGGTCCTCTCTGAAGTCCTTCACCGCCTTCGTCGAGGTACGCACAGGGCTCTCCCTCTTCGCCTTCCTTCCCCCCCCCCCCCCCCCGCCCATTCCCTTTCGCACCTTCCAGTCCCCGGCGCCTCTCGTTGCATGTGCTGATCCCTGTCGGTTGTATCCTGCTTCTCAATCGCCGCCGCATCGCCACCGCCATCGTCGCTACCATGTGCACGCGCCCGCAGAAACTCAATGCCGAGAACCCGGACAGCTTCTCAACTGAGGCTCTCAAGCAGAAGGAGCATCTGCTGGCTACGTTCGAGAATTCGGCCCGCTGTGCGTTGGTCCCGTCCCTTCCGTTCGGGGTCCCTCCTCTTTCCTGACACCCTACCTCCTCCCTGCTCGTCCTCCATGCTGCCCCCCCCCCTGCCCCCCTTCAGCTCTCACCATTCCCGGCTCGCCGTGGAAGTACGAGGAGCAGGTGAAGCCGTTCTCGGCGGACATCAACGCCGTGTTCGAGAAGCTCCGCGCCGCCGGCATCAAGAACAAGGAGGTCGCTCTGCAGGTACACCACACGCCTCATCTTCGCCGATCCACCCCTGTCGAGCGGCCGCCTCTGCCCCTTCCATTACTGCTTGCGACTCACTCCCCCCCCCCCTTCTCCTTGCGTTCTCCAGGAGGAGATTTCCACCAAGCTCGAGGCCGATCTGGCCTTCGCCTTCAACACCATCGATGCTCAGTTCTGGCCCGGCATGGATACCCTCGTCACTGAGGCGGCTGCCAAGCTGCCCGAGGCGATTGACACCCACTTGAAGGGTAAGCGTGCTTTCTTGTGGCCGCATTCACGCATGGCGTCCCCGACCGCACCACTGACCCCCCTACCCATCTCCCCCCGGTTCAGGTTACCAGCTGTCCGAGGATGAGCGTGCCGATGTCCAGAGCACCCTGAGCGCCTCGATCAAGGATCTCATCACCAAGGAGCTGAATGAGCTGGTCGATGCGTCCACCTTCAACAGCAAGCTGCGCACCATGTGCGTCATCTTTTCCGCCGTGTTGCGTGTCCGATTGTCGACCATTCGGCCCGGCCTCTGACTTTCTCTCTCTCTCTCTCTCTCTCTCTCTCCCCTTCTCCTCCTTCCTCCTTGCGTGGACTCCAGCTTCCACTCGAAGTTCCGCTTCGATAGCCAGCGCCGGCCGATCATCTGGCGCCCCGGCATGAATGTCGAGACCTACTTCGACTCGGGCAAGCTTCTGGCCCGCAATGCGCTCGAGGCCATGCGCTTTATCAAGCTGGATTGGTCTCCGCTCGTACGTCGGGCATATGGCACAGCTCCGTCCCCGTCACCTTCACTCGCCGCTGCTTCCTGACGCCCATCTTCGTTTGCTCCCTCGGTCGATCTCTCTTGGCCATGCCACCAGGGTATCTCCAACCCGCCGACTCCCCTGGCTCTGATCGACAAGAAGCTCGAGAACAAGGTACTCCCCCCCCCCTGCCATCCTCTCCCAGTGCATCGGTCGCTACTCGGTTTCAGGACACAGGAGCACATACCGCCCTCTCCGGTCTCTGACCCCTCTCCTGGTGCTTCCTTCCCCTTCCGTGGCAGATTTGGACCCAATTCGAGAGCGAGGTGGCCGTCGAGTTCCAGGATGCCTCGATGCGCTGCGACCAGCCCCAGTACAAGATCCCCAAGTGGACCTATCTGGCCATCTTCCTCCTCGGCTTCAACGAGCTCATGGACTTCATTTCCTCCCCCGGCAAGTACCTGCTGATTGCGGTCTTCGTGCGTCTCCACAGCATCTCGTCACCCACTCATCTCTACGACATGCCCCCGCCCCCCAGTCACCTCCTCCTTTACTGACGTTCTCTTTTTCCGCATCGCAGCTGGGCCTCCTGTATGTCGTGATCCTGGCCTTCGATCTCCAGGTCCCGGTTGAGAACTTCATCTACCGCGTTCGCGTGGTGCGTACATGGCCCTCGGCTGCGCCTCCCCTTGACCGCGCCATCCTCCCCCTCCCCCCACTTGACACTCACCTCTCCGCTTGCAGTTTGCTGGCCGCCTGTCGTCGGCCATTGTGCGAGGCGCAGTCACTGGCACCATGCCCAACTTCAATGACGTGATGCAGATGCTCAACGACAACAAGAATGACCGGGGCACTGCCGGCTCTGGCGCCGCCTCGGCCGGTGGTTCTCCCCCCGCGGCCGGTGCTGGCCCGAAGGAGGACTGAGCTCCTCGGGATGCAAAGTCCGCTGTGCCCATGCGTGCGAAGAGAAGGCCCACATGCGGTGTGTGCACCGACATGGTGGATCCCCTGCCCCCTGCCCCTCCTCACTCCGCCCTCCACGCCCAACTCCCCGGTTGCCTCTGCGTGGAGTGCTTCCCCATGCCCCACCTCCATCAAAGAAAGCATCATTAGATAGTCTGTCTCTTAATTGCGCGCGCGCGCGCGCACACATACACACACATACGCACAGGCACGCGCGCACTTGGCGCCCTAGGGGTGGTGGTCGGCGGCACCAAAGATCGAGAACATCTCAAACTCCTCCTCATGAAGCCATATCCCAGGCAGGGGCGGCCCTGGGGGCGCGGTCGCAACGCGGGGCTCGATCGGTGGGCAGCCGGGTGCGGTCGGGATCGCGGACGGCGAGGAGGGCAGCGGCGCCGCTGCCACTGTCGTCGCTGCCGCCACTGCCGCCGTCGCCGCTTGGGTGATCACCACCTGAGGGAGACGCTCCACTTGCAAGGAACCCAGCATGCTCAGCAGCTGGTTTGCCGGCACCCCGTGAGTCAAGCGCAGAAAGGCGTCGGCTGAGCAGCGTGTCCGGGGATACTTGATGGCAAGCGGGGGGATCCGATCCATCACCGAGGGAAGGGCGCAGAGGCGTGGAGGGGAGGCAGACCAAGGGCGGCTCCTCAAACAGGATTGGAGGTGAGGCAGGGGGGGGGGGGTGGGGCAGGATGAGACGCATGCCAGGCCGAGGGCCTCCAGCCGGGTCCACGAAAAAAGGCACTCAAACACGGCTTCTCCGGCAAGCTGCCAGCTTCTGGAAGCATTTCCATCTACCAACGGATGCAGCCAACTAGATGTCCACCAGCTGGACGCTTGTCACCGTTGTGCATGCGTGTGTCCCCCTCCTCCCCCGCGGCGGCTTGGGGCCCCGAAGATCCCCCCCCCGATAAGGGGCGGGATCATGCGCCGGGGGGGACCAGATGGCTGGTCCATAGCAACACCTCCCCCCCTCCCATCCGTTGCCGGCCCCCTTTCCTGCTGCCCTCCCCCAGGAAAATGCTTTCACAGCAGCAACCCCGGCGCGGCATGGTCTCCAGCCTCCTGGCGGTAGTTCTCCTGGTCGCCAGTTGCCTGGCGGCCGTGGCTCGCGCCCATGCGGGCCCGCACGCCCTCACCAATGACTCGGTTTCCCTGCTCTCGAAGGGCAACTGGTTTGTCAAGTTCCACTCTCCGTGCGTGTCTGCCCTCCATCCCACCACTCGCTCCGGCCAAGGTGATGGTGGCGCTTTTTTCGCTTTCCCCTTCCCTCTCTCTCTCTTCCTCTCTGACGTCTGTTTTACGTGCTTCCATTGGGCCTTCTCACCCCCGCGCGTCGTAGGTCTTGCGGCCACTGCAAGCGCCTGGAGCCAATCTGGCCGCAGCTGGTTGCCCCGGCCGCCGCTCACAGTGTCAACATCGCCTCGATTGACTGCTCCGCCCACTCGCGTGCGTTCGGATCCCCCCTGCTCCTCACTCCCCTCCCCTGCACGCCGCTCTTCCCCTCGCTTTCCTTGCTCTTTTCGTTCTGCTCCCCATGCCCGCCTCTGGTGCTGACCCAACTCGGCTTTGTTCTTGCCAGTCGCCTGCGAGAAGTATGGCATCCGCGGCTATCCCACCATGAAGTTGTGCGTGCCCGACCATTTCCCCTCCCCTTCCTTCGCTCGGGATCTCCGCTTCGCCGGCATTGCCCTCCCCCGCCGGGCACAAACTCACCGCTCGCCTTGTACGGCCACATGAAACAACCAACCCAGCTTCATGAACGGCGAGGAGGTGGACACCTACCAGGGCCAGCGCACTGTGGAGGCCTTCAGCGAGTATGTTGCATCGCTGTCCGCGCCCCTGATCTCCATGCTCCCGACGACCGGCGACGAGATCAAGAAGACCCTGCAGTCGGACACCAGCAAGCCGGTGTCCTTCATTCGCTGGGTGCCGGATGAGTCGGTCCCCTTCGGCGCGGTCCCCTTTGTGGCGGCCTCCAAGAAGCTGGTCTTCCGCTCGCGGTTCTTCGATGCCACCGGCCCGGAGTCGCTCGCGCACCTGCTGGACCTGGCCAAGGTTTCCGGTCAGCGGCCCCCCCCGGCCGACGGTGCTGCCCTACTCTTTATGTGGCGCGACGGCAAGCTGTCTCTCTTCCCCCAGGACTTGACCTCTCTGGAGCAGGATTCCGCCGTGCTGGACTTCATCATTCGCCACCGCTACCCGCCGCTGATCAACCTCGACGCCCGCAGCGGTGCCGACCTGGTCGGCGACTCGGATGTCCCCCTGCTGATTGCCTTCACCAGCCCCACCTATCCCTTCCACTATTCGCTGCTGTGCGTCCTTCCCCTCCCCCTGGTCGGCTGCTCCCCCGTCTCCTTCTTTCTCTATCCTTGTCTGCGCTTGGCTTGCTCTTTTTTTTTCCCCTCGCGATCGCGAGTTCGCGCCGATAGCACTGTCCACGGAGATGGCTCTCTCCCGGCAAGCTCCCACCTATCTCTGACGCCCGACACCTGTGTGTTCCATTCCAACCTGCAGCGATGGTCTGCGCCAGGTTGCCCGCGCGTCTGAGGCCGCCGGCGTGCCGCTCCACTTCACCTGGATGTCCTCGGACACCTGGTCGCCGTATGCCTCTCGCAACTTCAAGCTCCCCATCCGCCCGGTCCCGGCCGAGGAGCTCCGTCCGGGCAGCGGCTCCTCCCCCACATACCCCTCCGTGGTGTTCATCAACCCGCCGGAGCAGACTTTCACCGCGCTTCCGCTGCTGGACCTCCTCGCCGAGCAGGGCCCGCTCAACCAGGTGGTTGACCCGGAGCATGCGGCTCGCATCGTTGCCGCGGTATCCGCCAGTCTTACGCAGTTCGTCGCCGACACCCAGGCCGAGAAGCTCCCGGCCGCTTGGATCGGCGGTTGGGTCGTGGCCATTCCCCGGGTGCGTTTCGATGCTGCAGACATCCTCCCCTTCGCCCGGTCTTTCCCCATGCCTGCATCCAGCCCGGGTGTCCCCGACTCACACGCCTGTCTGCCATTGTCCCGCCAATTCTTGCCGGCCGCCACTCGTGCCGGCGTAGCTCATCGCCAAGCGCTTCGAGTTTGCCTTCAACTGGGCTGTCGCTCACCCGATCCTCGTGGCCAGCATGTTCATTGGCGTCATCATGTCCTTCGTGTACTGCATCATCAAGATCGCCCCGAGCGACGATTATGACTCGTACAATGAGGCCCCGCGCGTGCTGCAGCCCGGTGGCCGGCCGACCGGCCGCGTGGCCGCTGCCCCCGCCGCCCCTGCCGCCTCGGCCTCGAGCAAGAAGAGCGCCAAGCAGGATTGACGCCGCAGGTCGCGCCTCGAGACCTGCCTTTTGTTCACAAGGGTCGGTCTTTCGCCACGGTCGACAATAGACACTCCCAATCATGTCGAGAGAACCAGACGGCGTCCCCGGGGCAATTGCGGGGGTTGCATGACCCGAGGTCAGGCACCCTGGGCCGCCGCGTCACGGTGCAGAGGGTGTCGGCCACATCACCCGCGAGGCGGCCGCTGGGATGGCGCCCTTTGCCCTGGCGCTGGCCAGATCGGTGGGACATTCGTGTTTGGTTGTCTTTGCCTGGGGGCGGGGTTGCGCTTGAGGAGGGCTCAGCGCGATCCCTGATGTGTGCCGGCTGGCGCGGCACTTGATCCAAGTGCCGTGGTGGGCTCAGCCGGCCAGGGAGCAGATTCGGCCTGATGCAAGAGGAGCTGGGGTCGGCAGAAAAAACACATGCTCTGGCATCCCCCCCTTCCTCCCGCCTGGGGGGTCGGAAGCAAAGCTGTCGGAAAGGAGGCGAGGCCGTCGCGAGGGGCTTGCGTGGCTGACCTCGGGAAGATGGGGCCTGGAGCAATGGCACCGAGGAGTAGGACAGGCATTGTGTGCACGCGCGTGATGAGCACCGACGAGGGAGGGCTGTGAGGCTCGTCACGCCAGCGTGGCCGCTCACTCGTTCGGTTCCACCCCCTCCTCCTCCTCCGACACCCTCGAGTAACCTCTCCCCGTGTCCGGCAATATCTCCCATTGAGGCTGTTTCTCCCCGACGAGGGGGAACTCCCGGAGAAGTTCAAAAGGCCACCCCCATGTCAATCCACCCCTGACCGGAGATACACACACAAGGCCCTCCTGCCTGAGGCATCTCAATCCAAAAAGCCGCCAGGAGAGAGGAGATATTGTCCGGCAGCCTTTCCTGGGACCGGTCACTGGTTTGCAGAGAGACCCCTCGCCCCAGGTAGCCCGTGGACACACGAGGTGGATCGGCTTTGAGGAGTTCAAGGAAGGAGAAGCGGGGAAAAAAAAATAAAGGCGACCCAGGGTGATGGCTCAGGCAGTGGGCCGTCTGGCCGGGGGGAAAAGATAGATGAGATCCTTGGCAAGAGCCGAGAGGGCCCTGTGGGTGGGGGCATTCCGGAAGGGAGGCTCTTCAGGGGAAGTCGTCTCTGGTTCAGTCGGAACCGAGCTGGCAGGTGTTAAAGAGCAATGCCGGAAGAGGCCAGACAGAGGGGCTTCCAGATTGGCCAAAGAGATCAAGGTCTCGAAAGAGGGCATGAGATCGGGAGTGCAAAAAGGAGGGTGGCTTGACAAGGAGGAAAGCCGCCGGGAGGGGGAGAAGGGGAGGGCGTGATTAAGTATCCCTTTGGGCGAACAGATGCCCACCAAGGAGCACCCTTTCTTTTGGCGAGGCCCGGGCTTGGCAATCGATCAGTCACAACGGCACCCTGAAAAACAATGACCTTATTAAGCCTCAAAGAATGATGATTTTGGAATATGCTCAAATTAGCTTGTTTAAATACCATCCCTGTCTAATTATAGATCATACTTTACTAAAATCACATTTGTTGGACTTTTCTGTCATTATATCTACTGGAAAAATAAACCACATCCAATAAAATACATGGCATATTTATGCCTCTCTGTCTTCTTGCTGCTAATCTAATCCTGCCCCACGTTCTGTTACAAGCCCCTGCGCCCAGGCCCCTGTGCCCAGGCCCCGGCCTCGGTCTTCGGGCCTGGTGGTCGATCGGGCACCCCCCTCGTCCATCCACCAGGCGGAGGGATTTCTCCATCCCTCCCCTGCATGCCACTTCCTTGCCCTCCTTCCTCCCACATTGTTCTCTCTTTGGTTTGTCTTTTCCACTCCCTTCTTTATGACTCGCAATCCATGTCATGAGCAATCTAGACTCCGATGTCCCCCGAGCCCCACGGCGTCGTAGGGCCCTGTCGGTGGATTTCTCCTCGCGTGAACACTTGCTAGCGCGCCCGCCTCCCCCCTTCGGGGATTACTTCGACTCTTCGGCCTCCTCCATTCGCGACCTGCAATTCCCGACCGACGCACTTACCCTGCTGTCGGATTCCTTCCAGCAGGATGGCCTCTTTGGCCGGAAAGGCGATGCTGACGGGGGAGGAGGCTCGGGCTTTTCCCCCCGGAAAAGCCGTGGCCAGTTTTCTGCGGACTCTGAACAGCGTTTCCGAGGCAACCTGTCTGGTCTCTTCTTCTTTACACTCTCCCTCTTCTCCGTGCGTAAGCCCTCGGCGCCGCCTCATGCTCGCCCACCCGTATTCACAGATGCCTTTGTGTTTGTCCCCCTCCCCCCCTGCCCCTGGTCACAGGCCTTCTTCATGTCGTACTTGCTTTTTTCCTTCCTCAACTCCTGGTACATCAGTGTCCGGCCTTTCTCATACAACCAGGAGGTGCGTTCGGGATTTTGTGGCCCCTCTTCGATCTGCTCGTCTCCCGGCCTCACCACTTTTTTCCGCTGCTCCTCCGCTTGTGGCCCCCACCACCTTCCGAATGACTGCCCTTCTGTCTTCCAGATGAGCGTCCTCTTTTCGGCGAACCCCTTCTTCTCGGACCGACTGATCTACTCCCCGGAGATGATCACCCAGCTGTCGCAGCTTTTCACATTGCAGACCCTTCAGACGGGCGAGGGCCTGGTGCTCGATGTGCGTCAGCCTGTCCCTTCTCTCCGGTCAGCCTTCGTCTCACTCACCGGCCGGCATTCGGGCTGCAGGATGGCTTCACACACTTTCTGATCGTCGAGCAGGGCACCCTCTCCGCCACTCCCGGCGAGAATCCCGAGCATGCCGCCGAGTATATTAGCTCCTTCTTCCGGGGGGATTCCATCGGTATGTCGCCTCTTGTTGTGCCCTCCCCGACCTACTCTCGGTCGGTCGGGACATTGCATCTCGCTGTGTGAAACTCACCCGGAGGATACTTTTTCATCCATCTCAGGCGGCATGAACATGCTCCATGGGCGCCGGCACAACATCAACTTGGTCGTTTCTTCGGAGACCCCCGCCGCCGTGTGGGTAGCCAATGCGCCCGCGCTGAACTTGCTTTTGCAGGAGAGCGTCTTGCTCCGGTCGATCCTGGAAAAGCGCTTCATTCAGGCGCACATTGAGAAGCGCCGGAAGAAGCCCATCCTCTACATCCCGGGCTTCGCCTCGTCGCGCCTGATTGCCTGGCGGCGGAAGTCCTGCTCGGCCATGAAGTGCGCCCTCCTTTCTCCTCGTGCTTTGTCGGGTTTTTTTTCCCCCCCCCTCCCCCCCCTCCCCTAACCCTGATCGCTTGGCCTGCACTCCCCTCCCCCTGGCCGCGGCGTAGCATCGAGATCGGCGACGTCGTCTGGCTCAACCTCGAGAAGGTCCTTCACCACAACCTCTTCGAGGAGGCATGCTGGATTAAGTGCATGATGCTGGACATCGTGGACCAGACAGACCCAGAGGGCTGCAAGCTCCGGCCCGAGGAGGGTGCGTTCCTTTGCCTGCCCGCTTGTCCTGCTCTTCTCCGTGGAGGTGTCCCTGACCCGATGCACATGGTGCTCCTCCCCCCTTCGCAGGCATGGGTGCCATCTATGACCTGTTGAATGGTGTGCTGGCCCCGGTGACGGCCATCTTCCGGAACCTGGTCTACTACATGGCCCACCACTTTAGCTACGACATCTCCAGCATGCTGGCTCTGCCATATGACTGGCGCATCGCGCCGAAGCTGCTCGAGGACCGGGATGCCCTCTTTTCCAAGATGAAGTTCGACATTGAGGTAGGCCCCACGCTTGGATGCCATCATTTTGCATGCTCATTCCGGCGCCCGCCGCTGACTGGTCGATCGCTTGCATGGTCCTCGCAGCATACGGTCCGCATGAACCGCAACCCGGCCATTGCCCTGTGCCACTCGATGGGCTGCAAGTTGTTCCTGTACTTTGTCGAGTGGATGAAGCTTCACTATCCGAAGATCCATGAGGAATGGTTTGACGCGCACATTTGGATGTTTGTGGTATGTCGGACTTGCTTGCGCCCCAGGTCGCCGGTCTGGTTCCTCACCTTCCCCCCCCCTCCCTCACGCCTGCCCTCGCGGGCGTGCACACTCAGTCCGTGGCCCCGCCGCTGCTGGGGTCTGTTCAATCGGTCCGTGGCATGATTTCCGGTGTGGGTTTCTCCCTGCCAATCAATTCCATGGACTCGCGCCTGATGGGCGTGTCTTTCTCGAGTGCACACTTCCTCCTGCCCTCCAACATCACGATCGCCGAAAAGTACGCCCCATGGTGCTTGCATGTTCCCGCGCGCTTGCCGCAGCCCCGGCTGACTTTCCCTCCTTTTGCCTCCCCCTTGTGCACCGGGAAAATAGCCTGGTTCCCGCACACTCGAACACCACCCTCGGCAATGCCCCCTCCCTGTGGCCGGATCATCTTGTCGTCATCAAGGCCGAAAACGGCACCACCACCACCTTCAGCCCCTCGGAAATCATCTCCGGCCAGATGTATCGGACGCTGCATGCCATGGTATGGGATTCTTCCTGCTCTTGCTTTTGCTCCCCCCTCATTCTCCCACTCACCCACCTGGTTTAGCTGAGCGACTCGGAATACGACAAATTCTACCAGGCCTTGGACAAATTCTACTTCCGCGACCCGGTGTGGCTGGAACTCGAGCGGGAGGGCCCCGCTCGACCTCCCATCCGGCAGATCCTCACCATCTATGGGCGGAACCTCCAAACCGACCTTGGATATCACTATAAGGCGGGTGCGTGTGGTCTTCTCCGAATCCCCCCCTCCCCCCTCAATGTGCCGGTGGCTTTGCCCGCTCGTTGCCCTCCCCTGACCTCTCTTTCACTCGTTCTTCCTCCTCCCTCCTTGCACCACAGTGACGCGGAACAATGGCAAGATGTCCCTCATCATGGAGTCGGAGATTTTCGAATCGAGTGGCGGCAAGATCCTGGCCACCAGTTCCCACAGTCTTCTGCCCAGCTCCGCGATCATCGGCCAGTCGCGCTATCCGAAGTCCGGCGATGGGGTACCTGCTCTCGCTGTCTGGTTGATGGTTGGCCGCCGACCGGCCCGGTGCTCGCCATTCGTACTTACCCTCCTGTCTCCCCTGTCCCCAGACCGTGCCGTATGCCTCGCTCTCTTGGTCGCACACCTGGCACCACGACAATGTCCAGGTGAAGAATATCCCCGCTCGCTCGGCCGGCGACGTGGACACCCTCATCTCCAAACTGTACCAGGACCTCGGTGGGACTCTTGCCCAGTCGGGCTTCGTGCACTTGGACCTCCTGCAGCAATTCCACAAGTCCCAGTCCTCCTACTCGCGATACCAGTCCACTCGCAAGGTATGCTGCTGCTGCTGCTGCTGCTGCTTCTCGCCGGCTTGCGCTTTCATCGGCGATCCACCAGTCTGCTCCGGCCATGGGGCCCCCTTGCCTGACCTGCTGCCCTCGCCCACGCGGGCCCCGCACCCTTCGCGGCGATTCGCCACTCACCTTTTGCCCCTCCCGCCCTGCCTCTCGCGGCGAAACTTGCGGCCTCCCCCGCCCCGCCCGCCCCGCCCGCCCGGCCTCCCCTCTCCCCGCTCCGCCCCCGCGGTACACGCACACGCGCACACAACACCAACCACAAGGCCCAAAACCCAGACACCGAGGATGATAGCCATGTGATTGTGCTGGAGATTGACGGCCTTGGACATCGCGATGTCATCCGCGACCATGCCTTCACCGATGGGTTCATCCGGGAATTCTTGCGTCTGGCCAAGCGCGAGTTCCTCCTCCACAATCCCGAGGTCTCCCATGCCCGCCTGGGGGATTATTCCTGCTCGCGGACGCCCCGGGCCGCGGTCTTCTCGCACACCTGTCCGGTCCCTTGCCGTCTGGTCCACTTTGTGTGATCACGCGACTGCCGCGGCACGCGCTCGGCGTGGGAATAAACAATAAATAGAGCCCGGGCCCTGGGGGGGGGGG